AGTGAGAGCGATTCTAGAACTTTGCAGCACAGGGCAAGGATTGGAGCAACTTCAAGAAGGAGCTCGATCAATCGTCACTTTGCACCCGGAGACATCCGTACGTGTTTCAAAGTTTTCGCTCCAAGAGGTATACTTCTTTCCAAACTGTAATATCTTTATCCATACATCATTTGCTTTTTGTGTTCAAAAGATATATAAAAAAAGACAGAGCAAAAGAAGAAAACTCAGCGAAAATCCAAGACAGGAGGCTAACACGGGTGCCCGTGTCACAGGACACGGCCCGTGTCAGCTCAGCTGTTTGAAAATGTAACAAAAAATACAGGACACGGTGCTGGCACGGGTGCCCGTGTCAGCTTAGTTGGGACAGAAAGGAAGCGCGCGTGATTTATTACAGGGTCCTAACACGGGTGGCCGTGTCACAGAACACGGCCCGTGTCAGGCCAGACACCAAAAATCTTGTTTTTTTATACTTTTTGCTATTATTTTCATTCAATATGATTGTAATAGTTAAATTAAGTTTTATTTGCTTTTATATCCCTATTTGTAAACTTGAACCCCCATCCCCTAAAGTGATGTAATAGTGTATGATTTTAATTTCCGCAATTTACCGCTTTAATATAATTGTTAGTAATTAGGGTGTCTATGGAAAGATATAATCAATCTTAGAGAACCCTAATCTCAAAGACAAAAATGCATGCAATCAAACACTTTTCACACGCGCACCTCTAGGGTAACCTCGCTTGTGCCTACGAATAAATAGTCATGTCCCTCGAATGTGGGATGCTTTAGCAAAGACCCTCGATAAAAAAAAAGATCATAGTCCCTCGACGACCCTTCGACGTTTCCTTCGGTAAAAAGATCTTAGTCCCTTACGACAATTGCTAAAGCGTCTCATAGGTTGCCTTCTCTGACTATACAACGACCCACGTCCGTCCCTTCACATCCAATAATAGGGCTTCTTATCAATCAATGGTAATATAGCAACATCTAAAGAAGAAGGAAAATAAATAATACCCTTTTGAGTAGGTAGAATGTTCATAGTTACTTACTCACAACATTTTCAAAAAAACATCTTTCAAAACACACCAACACTTTCAAAACGAAATATTTTCAAAAATCAACACTTTGTATACATTCTTATAGAGATGAGAATCATTAAAAAGTTCTCCTAAACGAAGGCACTTTTCAAAAATACTTTCAAAACCAATAACAAATATATTTCAAACAAAGCATTTTCAAAGTGAGATAACAACTAAGAGCCCGTAGATAACTACGATGAAAAGGGTGCTAACACCTTTCCTTTTCATAACCTACCCCCCAAACTCAAGAAAAATTCTCAAAAGGTCTTTCCTGTTCTTTTCACCCTTTCCTTTATTGGATAAAAGAAAAGTCGGTGGCGACTCTTGCTATCTGCAACAATTGCGATAAAACGCAAATAACCAAGTTAGTTCTCCCACCGTATTACAATATCCATCAGTGATCTCATAAGAGTCTGACCTTCACTTGGTCCCCTTTGAGATACGACTACCATTGACCTAACAGAATTCGATCCTGCAAGATCTCCTATCAGGATTCCCTATAATGGCCGCAACCATTATCTTCTTGAGATCTGACTTTTACCAAGTCTCCCAAGGAATCAATTAACAATAGATGATTGTGATCTTGTGTTTACATGAATGCTTCTTTTAAGAAGATTACATAAGTGTTTTAAGCACATATTATTTAACACTTTTTTGAGCAATAACTCAAGTGTTAAAACAGTTTACATGAAGAGATTTGAACAAAAACACTATACGAGCAACAACTCTAGTGTTCATTACAATTTTCTACAAAGATGTATATGATCAGAAGTTGAGTAACATCTTGTAGTGTTCTTCTTCATCTTCTTGTTAAGCAAGTTCCAAGCAACAACTCCTTGCTTTTTTTGAGATCTACCAAGATGTATGTGATTGGAAGTAGAATAACATCTTGTAGTCTTCTTCTTCTTGAGCAAGCTATGAGCAATAACTCCCCGCTTCTTCGGTTTCAATCAAGATGTATATGATCATAGTTATATGACATCTTGATGAAATATTCTTTCTTTCTTTTCTCTCTTCTTTAGTGGTCTTCAGAATGTCTAGTATTGCAACTCTAACATCTTCAACATCCACTACTTTCCTTTCACAAGATGAAGCTTGATGGCCAACGACAACTTTCTTTAAATCTTCAATCTTATTTTGTAGCCTTTAACAGAGAGAGACGTTATGAGGATACAAATGACTTTTCCCGCACCAATGGTTAGTTCCCAATGGATAGAATAAGGTGTAAGAGTTTAGACAGTATAAACTAATATTTCGGTATCGTGTCACTATTCAATGATAGCTTTCCACCTTTTCTCTGAATAATGTTTTTCTATTAAGCTTGTAAACAGAGATCTGTTAAGTAAAGAAAGATAGCTGTAAATCCATCCATTTGTTCCCTTTGGCCACAATGAGAGTGGTTGGCAATATAGTATAAAGGATTTTCCTTACGCCATCCTAGATGATAGAGGTCACAAACACTTTATGTACCTTTTGTACAACATCACACGTTAACCATTTAAACTTTCTTCTTATCATCAGAGGCTTCAGATATTTGAATGTTGAATGTTGAAGCTTGTTGTAGAATAATCTTTCTTAAGTGTTAGAACCTAAGTCTTGGAGTCTTCAGAACTTGTCACACAAAACTTTATCTTCAGAGTTTTCAGCACTTTGTTGTAAGAACTTACTTTTCTTTAGATCATCAAAACTTGTTCAGCAGAACCTTGTCTTCACAATCTTCAGAACTTGTAACACATAGAAGTAAAGCTTTAGAAGACCTCCAAAGCTTAACCACAAAGTCACGATCAGAACCTCTTGTACTAACGTTCCTTAGACACGTTGCAGAAGATAGATTCAGAATCTTGACTTCAATTGTAACACATAATCACACGTTTTCTTCCAGTAGTGTATGTTCAAAACCTGATGATATCACACGCCTTGTATCAGAGTCATAATATTATAGCAGCAACTACACACTATAACGAAACGATTAGTGTATATAATTATTCCCTAGGATAATATGTGAAGTTATCATCAAAATCTCAAGGCCAAATGTAGAAATACTTCTTGCTCTTATAACTCATTCATCGCCCGCCAAAGCCTTGGGGGAAACTATTCTAAACCAGCCCAAGTGACTAAGACTTAATCCGCCTCAAGCCCACTTTACTCGACCTAACATATAAAACAATCTGCATGCTATGAGAAAGTACACAATCTCTGATCTCTAATTTCATTTAACGCTTGTTGAACATTTAATTGAGTTTGGCATTGGAGTGCTAACCATGCAAGTCCATCCTACGTCAATGCAAAGGAAATCAAACCCACAATTCAAAACCATTTTTTGTCAAATTCTCATTATTTATGGTTCCTTCGAGAGCTAAAGCTTCTATTTTGATTCTCAAATAGAACAAAACCTAATAACTCGTTCATTAGTATTTTCTAGAATAAGAAGAAATCTAATTGTCATGTGTTTAATTGGAAGTATTTAATAAGCTTGAGCATTTAAAATCTTTTTTTCTCTCTAAAATGCAACATTTAAGATGATCTAAAGAGGATGGCTAGAAACATCTTAAAACTAATAACTCAAAAGGATCCAAAAATATTAGAGTACCAAAAACAAAAATTTAATTTGTTAATTAAGAAAATATGTGCAAGGTATGAGTTTGAAAGCTCTTCCATATAATTGTTTTGATGATCTTAAAGGTTGAAGAATTCTTTAAATTTTTTTTACGATTTTGATTTATCTCTCTTAAAGAAATATGAATCAACTCCCGCATCAAATAATTCAGAGTGATGTCAATTTTTATTCAGAGAGATGTCAATTTTTCATTTTGTTTTGACTCTCTTCAATGGGGTTCTAAAAGTATCTTGAGTAAAACACTTAAAAAAAAAATCCTATTGAAAGTGATTATTTACGTTACTAGTAAATTTATTTTATTTTTACTAATATTTTTTGGTTTGAGATAATGAGAATTTTAGCAAGCGGCATTGGGTGTAAAAAGAAGAAGCTAATTCCAAAGTTATCCAATACTTAAACAAACAAAGGAAATTAAAAAAAAAAAAAAACTTAAAATTGATTAACCTTAATAGATTAATAGATTAGGCGCGCGATTGGAAAAGAAATTTCACGTCACTTAATTTAATATTCCGAATGATTTAATCGATTAAATTTAATTTTGACCTCAAATCATTCGAGAATATCAATCCAGCCAAATATCATATATTATCTAAATATCAATCAAATCAAATCAAATCATTCATCAGAAATGCATAAGATACAATTTCTCAAAAAAAAAATGTGGTTTGATTAATTAAGGTTTTAATCAATTAAAAATCTGATTTTAACAAATTATATAAATCTGAATGATATTTCACGGCCAAAGTAATATTGTATGATTTAATATTATTAGTATTTTGAATTTGATAAATAATAATGAATAATTTGAAAGAGAGAGAATTAATGAAAACAAATATTGAGGAGACGAAAGCAACGTGGCATATAAGAAAAAGTAAAAAAGAAGTTAAAAGTGGTGTTCCGAGAATTCCATTCCAAATAACAGAATTGACTGTGAGGATTTGTTGGCTATTGATCCGCTCACCCACAAATATGGTATTCCGCGGCACCTGCTATTTTCTCGGACCAAACCTGACATTTTCGTACTCCTCACCACCACACCATAACCAAAAACCCTCACTCACTCTTAATATTCATATTCATATTCACTCACTCACTCACTCGCACTTTCTTTTTTCATCTCTCTCTCTCTCTCTCTCACCAAATCAAACCAATTTTCATCATGACACTCACATCAAATACTGCGCTTCACAACACTACTACCCTCTTCTAACCGACCACTACCTCTATCACTTTCTATTCTCTCTCTCTCTCTCTCTCTTTCTTTCTCTCAGTTTTTGAATCAATCAACTCTTTGAAAATCATCAATGAACAACACACATGATCAATGGTTCTTGATGAAAAACAACACTGATCCTCCTATTAACACTGTTCCATTGCTCCAACAACAACATCAATCTTCTCGAATGTTGTCCAATGTTGTTCATCAATCTTCTTCTCCATCAAATGGGTTTACTTCATGTCGCGATGAAATCTTGATCAACAACAACAACAACAACAGCTGGAATATGAATGGTCATCGTGATCATCATCATGATCATGATTATCATCAATTGTCTCTTAATCTTTCTTCCATGTCCCTTTCAGATGAAGATCATCATCAACCTAACAACAACAATGTTGCAAGAATCCGAGGTAATAATGTTGTTGACTCAAACTCAAACTCAAACATCAACATCAACAACATGCCTGGTTTTCATGAAACTCATGCATACAACAACAACAACATTGTTGAAGATGAAACACTGACAGCAACAAACCCGACAACTTACCCACGTTATCATCAAAACATGGGTAGTCCTAAATCACTTTTTGGGGTTTCATCACTCTCTGATATGAAATGGGGTATACAAAAAGGTAACACCTTTGCTGGAGTATCTCAAATGGGTTCTTCTATTGATCATGGAAATGGAATTGGAAACACTCTTTCTTATGGTCATTTTTATGGACATGGTAGAGGTAGGGTTGTTCCGGTTCAGCTGCAAAACTCATCTTATAACAACCTTTATGAACAACAACAACAACAACGCCTTGTGTGTCCTTCACCAACAAGGTCTTCTTTTGCAATGGAGAATGATTTTCCAGCAAATCCTATCATGTACACTACTCAAAATGTTGTTAACAATGCTCCTCCATCACCACTTTATTATCCTTCTAATAGCCATTTTCAGCTTCCTCAATCTCCTTATCCTACTAGGCCTATTGAGGAACCATTGGCTTTTAAATGTGATAATAGTTTCATTCTTCAAGAGAATGACATGAGAAGAGACTGGAATTCATTCTTGGGTGGTGCTGGTGCTGGTGCTGGTGCTCGAGTGATTCCTCAAATTTCTCATAATTTTCCTATCAGAACTGAAAACACTCGGGCTTTCGTAACAGATGATGAGGTACAAGTACAACAACCTTTGATGAACTTTCTTTCTTCAAATATGCCTTTGCCTGCGCTCCAAAGTTACATGATTCATACGGCAAAGGATCAGAATGGTGGTCGTCAGCTGCAGAAGTTGGTTGAGGAAGGGTCTAACGAGGATAAGGAAATGGTGTTTGAAGGTGTTATTGATAACATTGTTGAGCTTATGATGGATCCTTTTGGGAACTATCTTGTTCAGAAGTTGCTGGAGTTTTGTAGGGAAGATCAAAGGTTGCAGATTGTTCATATGTTGACTAAGGAACCTGGTCAGCTAGTCAGGACATCCTTAAACACACATGGGTAATTTTGCATTGTTCTTTTTACCTAATATTTTTGAAATTCTAAGATTTTGAAACATTGAATTAATGATATTGTAAATATTTCAGAACAAGAGTGGTCCAGGTGCTGATTTCTACTATCAAGTCAAGGAGGCAAATTGCCTTAGTGAGAGCAGCAATTCAACCTGCTTTTCTTGAGCTTGTTAAGGATCTGAACGGAAACCATGTCATACAACGTTGTTTGACATGCTTTAGTGTTCAAGATAATGAGGTATACCAGTTCTTTTCTCTTTTTGTTTATTTTTCATAACATGTGTTACTTTTAACTTTATATGGACCACAAAATTGGTGATTCTTTTATAGTACTTTTTAATTGAATAATTATCATCTATATATCTATATGGAAATTCATTATTGTCTTTGGTACCTAATAGGCTCATATTTCAACTGTTTTCATTTTTCACTCTGTTTGAATTTTAATACTACTTTATCAGTACCTAATAGGCTCATATTTCCCTCTTTTTTCTCTCTCAAATATGATCCATACTGCTTCTGGGATATGCATTATATATATATATATATTTTTTAAAGCTTATATGTCTTGTGGCATTCACTTGATAATTTGAAGAACTTATATTGGTAAAGCTATTCTGATTTTTCAATCTGTTTGACTAGGATTTCTGTGTATTTTATTGAAATTTATTTGAAAGTTTGTTGATTTTTCGTTTTCCTCTATGATATATGGCAGTTTATTTTTGATGCTGCAACAAAATTCTGTCTTGATGTTTCTACTCATCAACATGGCTGCTGTGTGCTTCAAAGGTGCATTGATTATTCGAAAGGGAAGAGTCAAGAAAGGCTTGTCAGGGAAATCTGCAAGCATGGCTTTCATCTTGCTCAAGATCCATATGGGTAACTCTTCATAACAAACTAATCTTATTATGTTAGAAGAAACAGCTTAATTAGAAACTTATGTTATGTATAAGCTGTTTTTATAACCAAAACTTCCAAGATGTTTTCAAAAGCAGTATTAGAGAGCTTATAGATAGAAGTTGAAGAGAGTTTATATACATGTCTTAAGCTCTCTCTAACAATTTCACAAGTAATTGTGTCAACAGGTAAGTTCAAATAAGTTATAAACCAATTACCAAACAGAACTTAATAGTGATGTATGTATTGTATATCTCAAATTGATACTTATGCCTATTCATTACTCTGAATTTGTATTCTAGCTCATCAAAATAACACATTCTATCATTTTCTTGCAGAAACTATGTTGTTCAGTATATCATTCAGATGCAGATTCCAAGTGCTATAGCTAAGTTTACTGCTCAATTCAGAGGAAACTATGTTACCCTCTCTACTCAAAAATTCAGCAGCCATGTGGTTGAAAAGTGCCTCAAATACATTCCAGAGACTAGAGCAAGGATTGTTCAAGAATTGTTGTCTGTTCCCCGCTTCGAGTGTCTGCTTCAAGATCCATATGGAAACTATGTCCTTCAGTGCGCCCTTGACAATACCAAGGTATAAATTTTACGCGATCACACTCACACACACACAGTTAGTCATTTGTAAATTGTTTTAGTTATTTCTAAATTGTCGTGTTTGTTTTGAATCTTGATGCAGGGCTCCTTGCTTACATCTTTGGTTGACGCAGTCAGAGCGCACAAGAACTTGCGCACAAGCCCCTACTGCAAGAGGACATTCTCAAAAATCCAGCTGAAGAAGTGATGTCAGTACTCAAGACATGTTTGTTGTTGTTGTTCCTTATCAGTATTCTCCTAGTTGTTGCATCCAATTAGTTTTCCGTGTATCTTAGCTAGTAAGTCTAGCATGAAAAGAAAAACTTAAATATTAGTCTACTATTAGTATTTGTTGTTGTGTATGTGTCTTCAGACTCCGTGTTTCCTAATAAGGGGGGAGTTGCAGCGATCATACTGGAGAACATTGTGGTGTTCATCAGATGAAAACAAGTTTGCAATTTTCCCGTTGAAGCTAGAGTCTGAAAGTATGTGTTTAGTTTTTTCGTAGTGGTTGGTTATTATGATTATGTTATATGGAGTTGTTACCTTATGGATGTGTTGTGTGTGATGCATCCATGATGGTGTTGTTATGAAAGTTTGTAGAACGTGTACATTTTCCTGGATGTTGTGTTAGGGAAAACATTTTGTTGCAAGACTGGGATAATGTACTACTATTTGAATTCTAGTTTTAATAAAATTAGGAGATTTTATGACTTTTTTGTTTGAATCATTTGATTGTATGATGTGGATATGCATCATCAATGTTGTTTGCACTATAAGCCTTTGTTTGATTCACATTTGGAATCACTGTTTGGCAAATATATTCTATGTTTTCACCGATGAAAAATGTAATTTGATTGGAATTCGTTTTATTCGAAGAAGATTGTTAAAATATTAAGTTAGATTTGTTAAAATATTATATTAAATTTGATTAAATTTAATATTTAAATATAATTTAAATTGTGTAGGAGTCCAATTAAGGTTGTATATAAATAGTTCTAGTCTGTATCATTATTTGTATAATTCAATATTATAAATTCTTATTTCCTTTAATATTCTCTCTTCATTAAAGTGTCTCACGCACTAATAAATTGGTATCAGAGCCTGGTTATTATTGTTGATAGAGTTTTCAAGAATTTCACGTCAAAAACCGTGTTTCTAGGACAAGTGAATCAACAGTTGCGAAGATAGCTAGTGATAAGGTAGAGTTTTCAAGAATTTCACGTCAGAGATCGTGTCTCTATGGCAAGTGAATCAAATGTTGTGAAGATAGCTAGTGATAAAGGCATTCTGAATTCTCTTCCAATGCTTGACGGTAAGAATTGGATCCAATAGAAAAAACAGATGCAATCCTTGTTTGGCTTCCATGAAATCCTAGAAATGGTTACCGGCGGCGTTCTTGCGTTGGCTGCAAATGCAACCGACGAACAGAAGAAAAAAAACCACAACAAAGTCAAGAAGAAAGATTGCAAGGCTTCTTATTGTATTCAGACGGCGATCGATGCTGCTAATTTCGACATAATCTCATGCTGAAACAGCAAACGAGGCATGGGATATTCTTGTGAAGTATTACGAAGGAGGTGAGAAAGTCAAGGTTGTCAAGTTACAAACCTTGCATCGACAATATGAGTTGTTGTCTATAGGAGAAGATGAAAAAGTTGTAGAATATGTGTCGAAGGTTCAAAAACTCGTCCATCTTATGAAGAGTTGTGGTGAAATCATAACTGATAAGATGATAGTTGAGAAGGTAATGAGAACGCTGACCTCACACTTTGATCACGTTATCGTAACTATTCAAGAATCCAACAATCTTGAAACCACTAAAGTGGAAGATTTGGTTGGTTTGTTAGAGGTGCATGAGATGAGGATTGTCGAAAGGAAAAGAGTACAAGACTCGATACAAGCTCAGTCATGGAAAAAGGATGGTGGTTCCAACAAATTCAAAGGTAAGTTCGACAAGACTCATGGTAAGAAGTCTTGGTCGAAGCCTCACAAATATCATGTTGAAGATGAAGCTTTTGAATCCTCGAAAAGAGGAGGAGGAAAATATCGAAAGGGCAAAGAAGATAAAAAAAGTGTGCAATGTTATAACTGTGAAAAATGGGGCCACGTAGCCAAGAATTGTTGGTACAGAAAAGACAAGGGATCGACAAGCAAGGACAAAGGAGAGAACCTTGCACGCCAAGATTTAGATGATTCTGAAGGTGGTATGGTGGTTATGGCTGCAGTTGCAAATAACCATGTCAAATCCAAAATCTGGTTTCTCGACTTAGGTTGCTCAAACCACATGACTGGTCGAAAGGATTGGTTGGCAGATTTCGACGAGTCGAAGAAAAGCAAGGTAAAACTTGCTGATAATAGTTTGTTGGAAGCAGAAGTACTGGAAATATAGTCTTTCAAATGAGTAATGGAGGGAAAGCTATGATCAAATATGTGTTTTATGTACTTGGGATAAAGTGTAACTTGCTAAGTAGTGGACAACTAGTCGAAAAAGGTTTCTCAGTTTTCATAAAAGATGGAGTTTCGAAATTGTTCGACACCAAGAACAATTTGGTCTTAAAATCTCAGTTGTCGAAGAACAGGATATTTAAGGCTATGATCAGTTCGACTGAAGTTCAATTGTTTGAAAATTATTGTTGACCACAAGGATAGTTGGTTGTGGAATTTGAGGTTTGGACATTTGATTTTTCGATCACTCAATCAACTGATTACTCAATATATGGTTACTGGAATTCCACGTCTTGAGATGCCTGAAAAACTTTGTGAAGGTTGTTTAGTAGGAAAGCAATCCAGAAATTCTTTCGTTTCGACTATGCTAATGAGATCATCTTGCATACTAGAAGTGGTACATTCAGATGTATGATGTTCATTTGAAGAACATACAATTGGTGGAAACATATATTTTGTTTCGTTTGTCGATGAGTTTAGTCAAAAATTATGGATCTATGAGAATAAACGAAAGGACGAAGTATGCAAAATCTTTAAGAGATTTAAGATACTTGTTGAAAACCAGAGTGAGAAGAAGATCAAAGTTGTGCGAATAGATGGATGTGGCGAATACACGTCTAAGATGTTTGAAGATTTTTGTGCAGAACATGGTCTTGATCATGAGGTAAATTCTCCTTATACATCTCAACATAATGGAATTGCTGAAAGAAGAAACAGAACCATATTACATATGGCGAGATGCATGCTGAAGCAAAATAATTTGCCAAAGTCTTTATGGAGAGAAGTTGTTTCAACTGCAGTTTATATTTTGAATAGGTGCCCTACCAAGATATTGAAGAACAAAAGTCTTGGATAAGTATGGAGTGGAAAATGACCATCAGGCAGTCATTTGAAGGTGTTTGGCTCTATGTGTTACAAGCATGTTCTTGATGCAAGAAGAAGGAAGCTTGATGATAAGAGTGAACTTATGATTCTTGTATGATATCATAAAACGGGTGCATACAGACTATTTAATCCAGTTAATGAGAAGATTGTGTTGAATTGAGATATTGTGATTAATGAACATTTTGTCTGGGATTAGAATTCTAGCAATTCAATTAACAAGCCATTGATGAGTTCTGATGTCGATGAAGAAACTGATGAAGTAGAGGTCCAAGAAATTGTTGAGAATCTAGTCGAAGTAGAAGAAGAAGTAGTTGCTGACATTCCCGACACAGTCGTCGTCGAAGAGGTTGTGGCTGAAACAAGCCAAAGACCTCAAAGAAATAAGTTATTCCAACAATATTTCATGATTATAAAGTGGTGGGTGATGATGAAGTCATGCCAGATGGAGAATTAGTTTATTTTGATTTACTTTCAGGTGTTAGACCAATTAACTATAGCGAAGCTTTGAAGACTAAACAGTGGAAGTTAGATATAGTCGAGAGTTACAGACAATTGAAAGAAACAACACATGGGAGTTAGTCGAATTTCCAGCACATACAAAAGCTATCGAAGTAAAGTGGGTATTCAAGTTGAAACATAATGTTGATGGCTCGATAGCAAGACATAAAGCAATATTAGTAGCTCAAGAGTTTCTTCAAAGAGAAGGACTCGACTACTTTAAAGTATTTTCTCCAGTAGCAAGATTGGAGACTATTCGACTAGTGGTAGCATTGGCATGTAACCAAGGTTGGTCGACATTTCATTTAGATGTGAAATCAACATTTTTGAATGGTCCTTTAGACGAAGAGGTATATGTAACACAACCTCCAGGGTTTTCGATTTATAAGGAAGCTAGTAAAGTATATAAGTTACACAAAGCACTCTATGGCCTCAAGCAGGCACCTAGGGCATAGACAAGAAGATTGACTCATACTTAGTCGAATTGGGATTTATACAATGCAAATATGAGTATGGTGTCTATATTCAGGTTGTAGCACAAGATATATCAATCATCTACTTATATGTCAATGACTTGCTAGTAACTGGAAATAACTTGGAGAACTTGTCGAAGTTCAAAAAGATGATGATGAAGGAATTTGAAATGTCTAATCTGGGAAAATTGTCTTATTTCGTATGGAATTTAAAATGTCGAAGCAAAGTATGGTGCTACATCAAAGGAAGTGTGTAAAAAAAATACTCAAGATATTCAAAATGGATGATTTGAATCATGTATCATCACCCGTCGAACCAAATGTAAAATTGGAGAAGAATGTAGAGGAAGACAAAGTCGATGTAACTTTGTTCAAGAAAATTATGGGATCTCTGAGGTATATGTGCAACAGTCGACCTGATATAGGTTTCGCTATAGGCTTAGTAAGAAGATATATGAGTGAACCAAGAGTGTCACATATGAAGGGCAAGAAGAATCCTGAGATATTTGAAGGGTTCGATAAACTGTGGAATACTATTTTGATGAGATTCTGAAGACAAAGAAGCAATAGTTAATTATTTTTCAGATGCTGATTGGTGTGAAGATAAGGAAGATCGTAGAAGCACAACTGGATATTTCTTTTAAGTATTTGGTGCCCTAATCTCATGGTGTTCGAAGAAACAACCTATGGTGGCATTATCATCTTGTGAAGTTGAATATATAGCAGGATCCTATGCTGCGTGTCAAGCAATTTGGATCATATCTGTACTTGAAGAAATGAAGTTCAAAGTGAAGAAACCTCTTGTATTGCAAATCGACAACAAGTCAGCCATAAATCTGGCGAAGAATCCAGTTATGCATGGAAGAAGTAAACATATTGAAGCAAGGTTTCACTTCTTGAGGGA